CGTACAAATACAAAGTTAAAGGCAAACAAAAGAAGTGGTTCGTACACTCGCAAAGAACGCCTGAGAACGCGAAAGAACATGAGTGGGATTCGAACCCACGGTCCCAGCGACCAAGTGGCACAAGGCCCACGACTCAGACCGCGCGGCAACTGAGACGGCTCTATTAGCTATTTCATCTCTTATTTCGCAAGCCAAGGCCTACTCAAAAGTTCCCTACGCTTCTTTTACTGTTTTCATTTCACAAGCTTAAATAAGAAGTTTAATCATGATTAAAGGCAAATGATTATTAATGTTTAAGGGACTTTTCACAGTGTTAAAACTATTGGCTCAATAATTCTGTTAAAAGAGGTCGACTGTGCTCTTGTGGTTAGTAATTGCTATTTGCTTGCGGACACACGTCCCTAAAAGTACTCTAATAGACCGAACTACAAATGAGTTGTTAAAACCTCTGCAGAAAAATTTCATGCTTTTAAGTGCACCTAGGTTTATAACTGTCTGGCCTGAATGGCCTATAAAACGAAGGAAAGTCTTAATGCTTGAAAGACGAACAGCCCAAGAAATTAATCCTCGACGCTAATGGTCGCTCAGCTAGTCAAATATCCCTACTCTTATATGTAAAAACCCAAATTGGATTACAGTTTTCAAAAGAGACCGTCATTGATTCCGGTGTTCAGCCAGATAAATCCAGTCCACATCTTATTCCTGTAAGATCCATTTTAATATTATATTAATATCTATGCTTTGGTGTCGAGTTATCTCTCCCTTTCAGGATTCACACCTAAATGCTGTACAAATACCTCGTCTGGCTCATGCATGCAACATGACCTAGCCATTTAAGCAGCGGGATCATTTTGTTTTCTCTGAAATTTAATCTCCTCTATATTTTCACTAGGGAAGTTTTAATGAACAGCTATATTCGTGAAAGAAGCTTGACTTTAGCACTTCTATCTCAGTACCTGGTGTTCTTGAAAAGAATGTTACACGTGACAAGCTATAATAAGTTACGTGGAACCGTTTATCACCTACTGCAGGTGTGCAAAGTAAGCCCTTCGTAAGGAATTAATTTGATTAATGTTTTTCAATGCTATAAAACTATAAATTTACCCATTCATTGAGATGAAGAACACACGGACGAAAATTTAAATGTGTAATGAACCCTCTGACTAGTGGCGGCTCGTGAGTATGAGCAGTGGTGGTGCTGCTCAAGGGGGAAAACTCAGAATAGTTTTTATCACATAACAATATAAATAAATTAAAAGTAAATTTACATCAGGAGAAAACCCATACGTGCTCGACGACGTTTTAACTATTTGTAAGTCCAGAAGAGGGCGGCCATGATTTTTTACATCACTTTTTCACTCAAACAATTTAGAAAAAGTAATTTGCTGTGATTATGATACACTTTCTTTGCTCATTATCATTATCAGAACAAAAAATAGTCAGCACACAGAATTATTGAACACTCATTAACAATAACCACGAAACAGTTTGTGATACAGAAACCAGTCTAAAACACGTGGTATACCGGGCAAGCGTGTTTACTATAAGCCGGCTGCGGGGACTGCAGCTCCGATACGCGCTGTACCAGTGAACTGCCCCTCACTCCACCGCCCGCCGAGCTCCCATTTTGAACGGCTAGCCGCGCTGAAATCCTTGCAGCCGGATGATAGCCCCGTTCTGCTTCGCACTCCTCACCCGTGGACTTACTGTCCGTTCAGCCGATTAGTGGATAATGACAATGTAAGGGGCAATATTAAAATAATGGCATAGAGGAAATATAGTATTATAAATTACATAAACGCAAAACAATAATTTTTTTCAATTTTTGAAAAATTATAGGGGTGCTGCAGCTCTTATGGACGGACCGCATGTGTGTGTGACATTTCTTAAGCCTTTCGCTGCCTTCTCAGCGTCTAATCCACGCTCTCCGTTGAAGTGTATCGGTGAATACCGCGCCACTGCTATGCGCACTGCCGTCAGACGCCTGCGCGATGGCGCGAATTTTAAATGTATATTCGAATATTATACAATCTTTTTCGCACTTTTGCACAGCGTATCAGCAGCTGAAATTTTGTGTACAATCATTACTAGATGGGCTCTGTAGACGAGCAAAATTTCAGGTTTGGTTTCGACATGACCAAATGGACCATTCCCTAGTAAGAGGGATGTTGGTGCGAGAAACGCAAAGTAATCTGTACAGCTTGCACGTGTAAATGATGAAAGAAAATACTTAAAAAAACAATTAAAGATCCAGAAGAGGACATTTAATATGACGAATAGACACAGTTATACAAGAGTAAATGATAAATTGGCATTCTCACCACAAATAAATTTATAAATAACTTCCCGAAATTAGCAGATGCAGTGAATCAAAACGAGAAAAAGCACAGTGCCCTATAGATAGAGCGATGCACTTCACACAAGTGCAGAAAACCACTGCAATATCTGGTATAAACAGAAGAAAGAGGCACTGTTTGCATAAACATTCAACATAACCTGCATGCAAGGAACCATACGAGTCTGCTACTACTTGTCTATGAGTCAAATAGACATAGAGAAACAGGAACAAAACTTCTTTCAAATAGCTGACAATCTAGAGAAGTTTATAAACAACATGAAACAACCGCACCAAGCATAAGAATGTACAAAGTACGGAGATTAAAAACATTTAACAAGTTTGAAATATGAATAAAATGAAGCTTTCACGGCGACTAAGTATAATAAATTAACGTAAGGCAAGTCGATAAGGTCAAAAGACAGAAAAAAACAAAAAACACGAACGTCTCCAGCAGGAGAGGAAAAAGTGGCGATGGTCATTGTGGTGCTGGTGATGGTGGTTATCGTGGCACTGTTAGTGGTCATGGTTGTAGTGATTGTCATGGTCGTTGACGTGGTGATGATGGTCGTCGTAGTAGTAGTCCTTCAATCGACAGTCAGCATATATTCTACTCTATGTCTCATAAATCCACTCTGCCTGCAATCCCCTCCACTCCAGTTCCCTCCAACCACATGACCGCTGTAATGCCCATCGCAGGCACTGGGCTACATTCCGCCGCACTTTTCACAGCCTACACTGCACCCCACTCCTGCCAATTGTGTTTCACAATACTCCGCTCAACATCATTACTCTTCACCCGCACCCAGTCCACACCCTGCACTCAACTCAAACGCAAGCCACCCCACTCCACCCACAATTCACAACACAGGAAAGAATTGGACTCCAATCCA